GCACATGAGGAGTAACAACTAGTAAAACACTATCCGTGATGAGCACCAGGTGGTTCTAGCGAGCAAACTGATACAAGATGCATTTGGCACTGCAGGTGCTCAAATACTATGCTTAATGGTCTGCTTAAATGGACCCCATAAACTACGAGATAGGGGCGGTGCAATACGCTGCGAAACCTGGTGTTAGATAAGATATTTTTCATTTGGCGTACGAACAACTTATGACATTTGTGTGTTGTTTATATGTATATATGTATAACTGTGTTGCTTACGAATTCAACTTCGGCGCTCACAGTTAGACTTGCAATCAGCAACGAAAGCAACTAATTGCATGGCGAAATGAAGCACAAAGCTATTTAATTTTCTTAGTGAATGCGATATTCTCATTTGCAAACAAAGTTTGTCTCAAACCCAGAAACGGTGAATTAACGAGCACTGATATATGGAGAATAAATTATCTATTCATTGCCTAAAAGACGGATAGACTGATTTCAAATCTTGATGAAAGGACTTGAAAGCATCTTTGGTATTCATTCCTGACCCAACTATAGCAAGAGACGTTTATTCGTCATTCCGGATACTCCTAACAGAGGTTGACATTTGAGTTGCACTAGCGGAAAGTCTCAACAAAAGTTCCATAGGACTGCATTTCAAGAGAATGTAACGCGGAAATCGAACGTTTATTTTGCTGTCTGACTGTTAAGCATCACTGATGTCGCGCAAAAGTGGCAACTTTTACTTTACATATTTACAAAAGAAACCGACAGGGGTTAACAGTGATCGCTGTTCAAAGTTTTCCTCAAAGAAGCACGTCGGTCTGCGAAGTAGCCGCCGGGTCGTGGGCACCTTCAGCACGGCTTTTAAAAAGTTTCTGACTCTGGTCAAAGTACTGATTTGGGTGGCTGATCAACTGACTAAGGCTCGATTCCGGTAGCTGATGAGTGGCTTCGAATACGCTAGAGCATGCCCGATCATAATGCTTAGTCCTCACAAACGATAATGCCTGAAAAAGTGACACACGTCATACCACTGGAGAGCACCGGAACATCTAAAACGCCGGCCTTACTCTATCAACGTCTTCGGAACCAATTGACCAGCTGCTCAGCAAATGCTGCAAACCGTCGATGTCGTAATGTTTGAACGGACAGCCTGAAAATCATCCAGACTTGACTTAAACATATGCATCGTCAACGCGTACCGTGAGCATCTAGCGGTCCAGGAGGGTTGGTAGTGATTATCTTAAAACAACTGCATGGACTATAAGCGACGTGCTTGCCTTCTTTGCCGTAGATATGACGAACATTATATGCGTAGTTCTTCTCAAACTGAAATAATTGTTGCATAATCAGTAGGATCAAAGACGATCGAAGCGTACGCGAAAAGTCAACTAAACTGTTACAGGATTTGCGAAGTTTCAATGATCCGCCGAAATGGCGTAGTGACAGCAGAAATAACTAACACTTAGGTGCTGTTACTCCACGAGAATTCATGCTCTTCATCTTCAGTCGACTGCTTGAGTTGAAACATGCAGTAATGTTATTAATCACCACGAAAGTTTACCCGTATACAGACACGCCCAGGAGCCTGTAATTAATGGTAGCCGGTTAAAAACTAACTAGATGAAGTCAGATTTATAACTTTCAGCTAAGATTATTGCTATCAACATAAAGTACTATTAATATTGAAAATGTTTAAGCGAAAACAAAAAGTCAAAAATAATCGACAGTAGACAAAGAAATTACATTTTGTCACAGAGATTTTGACTCTGTACTTATAATTCATAAACAGATTACTTTCCTGAAGCATGGTTAATATACCGAATTGTAAAACAGAAATGGAAAAGTATTACTTAACAGTCCGTACCGCTCGTTATCAACACCAGTAATATCACCGGGATACAATTCAGTTTGCTGCAGAAAAATGAGCAAATTTGGAGAACAACTCTTATGGAGCTCGAAATGCTCAATCCACGTCCTGAGCTCTTTCTTTGGATCTGACAAAGGTGCACCAGTAGTACTGTTGATGAGTACAGATCTAATTGCCTGCTCACCGATCTCAAAGTCTCCGCAGCCAAATGTCGTACTCCTTGGAACATTCTTTGCTAGTCACCTTTTCTGACTGCCTTGTTAATCTTCCTTTCGGTTAGCCGAATAAGCATCTCTTTAGTTAACTCTTTAACTGCTATCTTTTACGGCGACCTCTGAAAAAGGTGTCCAAACTATCTTATTCAGCAGTGATCAGAATCAATACGAATATCAGTTGTAATCGATACGTATATGCTGTTTTAACTGGCAACAATGAAAACCAGTTTCTGATACCGCATACAGAATATCATAGATATTTCAGATTTTAAACACCTGCGGATAAAGAAATCTTAATTCGAGTTCGAAAAGGTTATTGTTTGTCCTCGCAGAGTGGAGGGTTTTTTCAGTCACTGCAAATACCGACGCAACGGAGTAGTGACCTACATTAAAGGCTCCCTAAGTCTCTACAAGCAATGGGTAAATGCGATTATGTCCTGTAAATTGCGAGATGCGAATACAAAAAAACCGAATTCGCCTGCCCATTTTCTGTTTATTGTAGACTTATTGTTACCTGTCAGGCATTCGGGTCAGACCAGTGGAAGTATCGTTCAGTCACGTCAAGTGTGCATTTGAATATATGACGTAAATTTGGCATTTTAGCATTCCTTAGACAGCAATAAACTAAATGTGCTAAGGTTCAGAAGGCAAATTACCGCGCTGGAGTCAAATCGGGGCGCAAAATGTGACTTCCAAAATTGCAACGATTCATCCAACGGCATACCGATAGCTTTCAGGAAAAGACCGAGCTGCAAGCGGCCCCCGTTCCGTAGATGATGATCATCACAAAGACGTTGGTATAACACGCGCATGCACGGCGGGAAGGAGATACTGGACATCTGCAACGAAAACGCGTCCTGCAACGTACAAGCATCGACCTAACATTTGCTTACCGCCGGGACCATGTCTGCCGTGATGTTCTGATTACCCTCAGAAACAGTGTAGTTCGACGGCGAGGATGAACTATCTCCCAACTGCTTCAATAGAACAGCTAACCGTTCGTCGTCTTGAAGGAGGCCTATGCGCTTTGAAAGTTTCTAGAAGTTAACACCTGGTAAT